TTATATATATATATATATATATATATATATATATATATATATATATATATATATATGTTCATACATATGAAGTGATATATGTACGTATACGTTTGCACGTAGACATACATAAATACATATCAATACATCGTGTTTTTGTGCGTGTGCTTGTGTGTGTGTTTGCATATACTTGTAAATTGACGTATATCAATTTTTATATCTATATCTAAATATATATATATATATATTGTTTTAGTGCTGCTACATGATGTGCTTGTATGTATGCCATGTATGAATACATGGTAGTTGCTTCTACTATCACTACACCTACAATCACTACACCTACATGTACCCGAGTACTTTTTGAATAGATCAGTATTAATCTAAATATATGTGTGTATTATGTGTGTGCGCGTATGTGCATGTGTACATAGATCTTTGACTTGTATGTGCGTGCGAAATCAACAGATCCGAAGTCAAATCGTTTATTCATACCTCTAAAGCGTCTCAGCCCACATGCGCGTTTGCTCATATGTTCTGGGTCGTCTATTCGGTGTTAGTCTTCTTCTGGCACCGACAATCTAATAATTATAGTGAGTAAACACTTAAACGTACATCTGCATTTTAAAAGAATACTACTCAAACCATCATATAGGGAAGCCATGAGACACCGTCAACCAATTATTGTTCTAAATATAACTCAAAGCTCTTATCTTATGTATGGACTGTCGAACGGTCACCTTCTCTGATACCGTCTCTATTGTGTTTGTCAGCAGCACTGCATATACCTCCCTTCATCCACTCGGCTTATTGTCATACTGCGGTATTCGCACCCAACCTTTTGTGGTTCTCAATCAATGCGCAGGTAATTGAGCTAACCGACTTGGAAGATGACATGGTCAACCCCATCGATCTGTGCAACAAATTGAACAGGGTAGGTTTATCTGCTGCCTTAGGTTTATCTGTTGCCTTAGGTTAATCTGCTGCCTTAGGTTTATCTGCTGTTTGCTTTCTTCTGTGATTGACGGTGTATGATCTTTGTGGTCCTTGTTCCTCGCTGAGTGTCGGATATTCTGTTAGTGGGTAGGTATGGGCGTCTATGAGAATGCCCATCCTGTGCGTGCGACCTTCAAACGTCGCAAGAGATACAGTGTAAATGTTTAGTCATCCTGGAACAACAGGCATTTTGCACAGTGTGGTCCTTGTTATCGCCTGTGTGCCCCCGTATGTGTTTTTTATGTTGTGAATTTTTCCCAAAGGATTCTCCAGCTCTGTGATACGTCTATATGGTCATTGATATAAATGTACCATTGCATGACAGTTTTTTGTATACGCCCGAGCGAATATCACTGGAGCGACATTAGATTCTTCATGTGTTTAGTTTAGGCTTATTTGTCCATGAACTTTCAAATCGTCCGTTAATGTTACCCAATCCTACGCAACGGTGCAACGGTCTAATTCAATGATGTTTGTGCCATGCAGCTGGTACTGCCTGAGTTCGGTGCGCAAGGGATGCTGGTCGTATTTTTCTTGTTCAGTATGTCTTGGATCCCTCTTGTCATCAACATCCCGGTGGCCGCTTACCATGGTTACCTGTATGTTGCGAATATGTTTAAAATGAAGCTGAGTTAGTTAAACTTATAGTCAAGTAGCTGGTGCAGCCAAGTGGTTTTGATAAATGTCGAGGCCACTAACATATACTTCAAATATATAGATGCATTGAATGAGACCAATCTTGCAACAATGTTTAATTGTGCCATGTATATATATCTATATTTATTTCCATATTCATATTCATATTCATTTCTATATATCTATATCTGCCTCAATATGTATTTGTATATGTGTATGCATCTTCATATATATATATATATATATATATTCATATATATATATATTTATATATGC